GAGGGACATTATATAATGATAAAAAGATCAATCCACCAGGAAGACATGATGATTCTAAATATATCTGCACCAAAAAGAGAGCCTTAAAATACATAAAGCAAAAATTGATAAGCTGAAAGAAGAAATCAACAAATCTACAGTTATACTTGGAGATTTCAACACTTCAGTTTCAGAAACTGCTAGATAGACAATCAGTAAGGATATAAAACTGATCAACACACACACACACACACAAACTGACCAACAACAATCACCCAACTGACCAACACAATCATCCAACACAATCATCCAACACATCATCTAATTGTATACAGAACATTCTACCCAACAACAGCAGAATAAACATTGTTTTTTAAGAGCCCATGGAACATGTACCAACAGAGACTGTCATAGGTCATAAAACAAACTTCAACAAATATAAAAGAATTAAAATAATACAGCTTTTTCTAACTTCAATAATACAGATTTTTTTCTAACTTCAACCTAAAAACATTAACAGAAAAACGACCAGAAGACTTCCAATAACTTGGAAATTAACACATTTCTGAATAATCCATGGGTATAGAGGAATTCTCAGAGGAAATACAGAAACCCATAGAATTCAATGAAAATGAAAATGCAAGAAGTCAAAATATGTGGTTGCAGCTATAGAGTCGTTGAGGGAGAAGCTACAGTCCTAAATCCTTACATTAAAAAAGAGCAACAATTTGAAATCATTGCTCCCACTTCAAAAAACTAGAAAAATGAGAGAAAAATAAACCCGTAGCAAGCTGAAGGGATGAAATTAATAAAACTGAAAACAGAAAATTAGAAAAAACAAAAAACAAACAAACAAAAAACAAATAGCTGCTTCTTTTTTAAATAATCAGTAAAATTTGTTGACAAAGTTCAGGCAAGATTGATAAAAATAAGTAAGACACAGATCACCAACACCAAGAATGAAACAGAGATATCAGTGTAGATCCAGCTTCCGTTAGAAAGATAATAAGGGAAAAATACAAATAAATTTATGTCCATAAATACTAACAAGCCAGAACAGACGGATTGATTCCCCAAACCCAGAAACTATTAAAACTCAATCAAGATGAAATAGAGAACCTGAATAATCCTATAACCATTAAAGAAATTGAATTGGTAATTTAAAAGCTGAAAAAGAAATCTCTAGCCACAGATGATTTTACTAAGGAATTCTAGGCTGTTATACACAAAAATCCTCAACAAAACATTAGCAAATCAAATCCGGCAGCATTTTAAAAAATTATACACCATGACCAAATCCAATTTATTCCAGGTATGCAAGACTGCTTCAGCATTTGAAAATCAGTCAGTGTAACCCAACATTATCAACAGACTAAAGCAAAAAAAATAAAACAAACAAAAAGTATGACTGTACCAATTGATGCAGAAAAACATTTGACAAAATCCAACACCCATAAATGATAGATCTTCCCAGCAAACTACTAACAGAGTGAAACTTCTTCATTTGATAAAAAGCACCTACAAAAACTTAGTTAACACCATACTTAATGGTTAAAGAATGAATGCTTTCCCCCTATAACTAGGAATAAGGAAAGCATATCACACTAACCATTTGTATTTAACATAGTTTTATGAAAAAGAAAAGGCACACATATTTAAGGGAAAGAAATAAAACTGTCCCTATCTGCAGATAATGTGATTCTGTACATAGAAAATCCCAAGGAATCTATAAGAAAACAAAACGCAAAACAAATAACCAGACTCTGAAGAAGTAATTTCAGCAAAGTGGCAGAGTGCAAAATCAACACAAAAAATTCAATCACGGGGCGCCTGGGTGGCTCAGTTGGTTAAGGTCTGTCTTTGGCTCAGGTCATGATCCTGGAGTCCCAGGATCGAGCCCAACATGGGGCTCCCTGCTCAGCAGGGAGTCTGCTTCTCCCTCTGCCCCTCATCCCACTCGTGTTCTCTCTCTCTCTCAAATAAATAAAATCTTTAAAAAAAAAATTCAATCACATTTCTATTTACTAAGAACAAATACATAGAAACCAAAACTTAAAACACAGTAACATTTATAATTGCTTCAAAGAAAATTAAATACTTAGGGATAAATCCAACAAAACATGTACAGGATCTGTATCCTGAGAATTAGAATATGCTCATGAAATAAATCAAAGTAGGTCTAAATAAATGAAAAAACATACCACGTTCATAGATTTGAAGACTCAAATAGTAAAGATGCCAGGTCTTCCCAAATTGGTCATAGGTTTAAGACAGTTCCTATTAAAACAGCCCAGTGTTTTGTAGATATGTACCACTTTATCTAAAATTTATATGGAAAGGCACTGGGACCTGGAAGAGTTAAAACAATTTCAAAAAAGAAGAAGAAATGGGAGAAACCACTCCACCAGTTAAAGCTTATTAAATAGCTACAGTGGTCACCATAGTATTGGTGGAAGAACAGATACCAAGATCTGTGGAACAGCTAAGGAACTCAGAAAGAGACCCACACAAATACGCCTAAATGATTTTTTCAAAGATGCAAAAACAATTCACTGGAAGGATAGCCTTTTCAACAAATGGTGATAGAGCAAATGAACTCTCAGGCATTATCTCAGAGAAATAAAAACTTACATTCACACAAAAGCCTGCAAAAAATGCTGTTTTATTTGTAATAGCCAAAAATGGAAACAACTCAAATACCTTTCGTAGCCTTCAATAGGTAAATGCTTAAACAAACTAGTGTATCTGCACCACGGGCGACTACTCAGTAATAAAAAGGAATGAACTATTGATACACGCGACAACTTGGATGGATCCCAAAAAAGATATTCTGAGCAATAAAAAGCCAATCCTCAAAGGCTACATACTACCTGACTCCATTTAAATACCATTCTTGGACAAAATCATAGAGATTTCTTAAAACAGGATATAAATATATAAATGATCTCAAAATAAAAAGTTAAAACAGGGGCGCCTGGGCGGCTCAGTCAGTTAAGCGTCTGACTCTTGATTTCGGCTCAGGTCATGATCTCAGGGTTGTGGGACTGAGCCCTGCATCGGGATTCTCTCTCTCCCTCTTCCTCTGCCCCTCCCCACTCACGCAAAATCTTTCTAAAGAAAAAGTTAAAACAAAGGAAGAGAGCTGCAATCATGATCATAACTTTCTGTACTGGAACTTTGCAACTTCAGTTTAGAAATCATCAGTCATTCACCCACTCAATACCTATAGTAGGCACTGTGCTAGGTGAGGGATTCAGAGTGAAAAAAAGCAGTCATGGACCTGGTCTCATGAACTTCAGACTGGGAAAGAGGAAAATTGCTCATGTATGAAAAGGTCATTACATCTCAGTCATACACATGAGAACTGGACTAAAATTTCTAACAAGAAGAGTAAGGTAAAATAATTTCTAGAGTACTATTTGCTCATTAAAATTATTACGTATACTTTTTAACAGAATGGAAAATTCTTGTAACATTAAAAAGAACACAAAATATAAACTCATAAACCCATTAATATATGACAATTAATGACAATGTGTTTTTATATGAATAAACTTTTATTGAATTTTAGATAATTAGAAAGAATAAAGAAATGCAAGATAAATGCTTTCTAAACAACATCTGATAGCATCTTTTCTGTCATGGTATTTTCACTCTTCTTTATAAAAAGTATAGACATTCATTTATTTAAATTTTTACAAAGTCAAGAACCATCACATGGAAAAAATAAGTAATGCTAACGTAAATTCAGCATCTCATCAATATTGAAATGGCTGCAATGGTTAGGTTCTGAGCTTAGCCCTCCCAGAAAACAGCGTACGCAGCAGCTGCTGGTTTCCATTTATTAAAATGGGTCTGAGAATCAGGAAGCCACTCCCTGTGACGACTATTTTTGCAGGAAAAGAGGGCAGAAGGCATGGTGCGAAGAGGGAGTGAGAGACACCCCGGGAAAAAAATGATGCTCTTATCGAACCATGAGGTCGGCCTTGTAAGTAATTCAGAGAACGGTTCTGGGACGAAATCATTTCTGTGCTGCTTAAAGTGTGATTAAGGCGAGACAGTCCCCGATACAAGTATGCCCAGATCCACACAGCACAAGACACGAGTGGGGAGTTTGTAAATTATCTGCTGAACTCCAAGGCCAGCCAAGCCAGGTAAGTAATCACAGAAGGAGTCTCTTTACAGTGGTGTAAAATGCATTTGGGCAGAACTGCAACCCTGAGCTGTGACAAACATAGGGCAGACCCTCCCAGGAACATACTTGAAGGCATCCCTTTTGTCTTAATCTTATCTCTCTTGCAAAAAGAATTATTTTGGAAACAACAGAACTCCTGCCCTCCCTGTAACAACCTACTAACCTCCACTTGTCAAACAAGGAGAAAGTTATCTCCCTCAGTGCAAAAGGCATCAGGTGCTGCCTTCATTAAGGGTAACCCACTGCGATAGCCAGGGAGCCCCGGCCAGCCCTGTTCAGAGGCTGCCAGGAAGGCTCCAGTCCCTCACACCTGCCGTCCTGGTTCTAAGTGGCCCATTCAACCCAGCTCCTTCTCCCGCGCGATGGGCCTCCCGCAGGGCCCCACAAACACAGTCACTGAACGTGCTGTTAATAATAGTCTTTTCTTTCCTAGCCCTATGCCTCTCATGTATTTTTTTAAAAAAACAATAGTTTTCTTATAAAAAAATATTTTTCCAGGAAATAATGAACGGTAATTGTCATGGACCCAGAACAGACCCTAGAAAAACGCAGACAGGCAAGAATCTGTCAATATAGCAATATTCCAAATATGAAATTCATGGTTTAGGAAGACATAAATAAATAAATAGGAAGGGGCTTCTCAGAGAAGTTTGTTTTCCTCCATTTCTTACTGAATTTTGTTTGTGTAAAAAAGTTTTGATTCTAGGATACAAGAGCCAGCCCTGTTGGGACCAATATGAACCATTCATGCCATTAAGCCCTCTAGACAAAGAGGGAACCACGATGATCCCAGGGTTGCTCATTATTTTTTATAAAGACAACTATATTTTTAAATAATTTCATTATTTAAGCTTCACCTGGCACTTTAGTCTCTTGAAAAATAATTAAGTTAGGCATGAATTAAAGAACAAGCCCATCTGGACTATAGTTTGGGTTTTAAGTGTTATTCTGCTCTTATATCTTTTTTCTTGGCTTGGCACATCTTTGAGATCCAGTTTTTTGAACAGAATGCTGGGACATCTGTGGTGGGGAAACAAGTCTTCAAGATGAAGAATTCCAGTTCATGTCACAAATTTCACTGGCCAGGTAACAGCACTGCCTTTTCCTTTGTGCTTTTTACTAGTATCCTTATAAGGAAAGTGTTTCTTTCCCCGCACTTGCTCACCCCCCCTCCCCCTGCGTGGGGCACTCCACTGACCCTGTTATGAACACTCTGTCCGCCCAGGTACTATACCAAGGACCCAGCCCGACTCTGGGCTGGCACCATGACAGGGACAGCACCAATTCGCTCGAGTGTTGCTTGGCTGATGGTGTACGAGTGTGTGTGCTGAAGCCGAGGCTTCCTGCTGACTGAGCCATTGCTCCTGGACACCACCTGCGGGGATGACCCTCTGTTGGCTGTCACTACTAGAGTCTTATGTGGAGCTGGGACCACATGGTTCCCATTAGCATAGATGGATGGGATGTTAGCATTGCCTGAGTGGAGAGAGAAAGACTGGCGTAAGTCACTGAAGTGGTTGAAGGTCTCCGTGTTCCTAGGAACTTTTGGATTGTTGCTCCAGTATCGACTGTTGTAGGTATTGGAAGAGGTCAATGTGTTGTTCTCTGAAGAGGATATCTCGGTGTGAAATGCTTTGGCAGAAGAAGAACATTTAGGTGGAAGATCATCCTCTCTGAAAAGGAATAAAAATAAAGTTGTCATCAGGATTTACTTGAATGTCACCCTACCCTCCTGCCCAGGACTCTTGCATCTTCTGCTAAGGCCAGTATGTCTGTGAGATACAAACCCTCAGGAGAGACCAGACTATCATGAAAGCAAACACATCAGCCCTGGTGGCCTCAGCTCTGACACTCATTCCCTTTGAGACAATGCTCAAGAAAAATGTTCCCTCAGCTTCTCAATAGCCAAAGGTAGAAAAGGTAATGTCAAATCTCTCAGACTATACTTTCCAATATAACTGAAAAAAAAATGTGTGTGAATATATATGTGTGTGTATGTATATATGTATGGGTATCTATCTATCTATCTATCTATCTATCTATCTATCTATCTATATATTTTGCTCTAAATAGGAAAACAGACCTTGAAGAAAGACACTGAGCTTGTTGTGTAAAGAATTACAAGAGGCTAAGTATAAGTCACTAATTTAACTTAAGATGTTAACTAATACATTCAACATTTATTGAGTACTAGGCATTCTACTAGATGTTTCATGTAAAAAAAAAAAAAAAGACACAGCTCCTATACCCCAGAAGCCTATGGCCAAATGAGAGTGCTAATCAATGCAAGAACATCTCCAAGTCTGAAAGGTTGGACAGGGATGAGAGTCAACTTCTGTGAGGAGGTCTTGAATCAGATCAAGGAATTTAGCAAAGAGGTGGATGTTTGGTGCTGGAAGAGGGTGGAGGCTTGAGCAAAGACCCTGAGGCATGAGCAGCTACTGAATAGACTGGAACACCAGTGACTGTGAAAGTGGTGAGAGAGGACCAGGGAAGCAGGGGAAGGTCAGATCCTGAAGGGCTGTGTGGATCATGCTAAGTAGACTGGAGTCATTAAAGCGTTTTTGACAAGGATATGATGTGGTGCAATGTGAGACAGAGCTTGAACTCCTCTATCCCCACAATATGCCAAGAGTCACTTTTCTTTAAAGATGATTTTCACATTGTTTTCTGAAGATGTTCAGACTGAACTGTCTCTCACAGCAAGCCATACTGCTTTGGCCGAGCTGTGTACACAGGTACGGGTATGCTCTTGGGGTGTTCCTTCTAGCTTCTGTTATAAATGCCAATGTCAACCACATTTCCTAAACTAACTTTTCTTCTGTGGCAGCCACCTTAACCCCACCCATCTTGGAACTACGGGAGGTGAAGGAATTCTTCACATGTGTCCTCCTAGTTGGGCACATATTGGACCCTCTTCCCCTTTCATGATCCAGTAAATAAAGCCAAGCAGTATCGTGAGGAAAAGCGATATAATATACAAGAAAATATGACGTCGCTACTTTAACTATCTTGGCCATCACAGCCATTGGATTAGCAAAGAAATCTTAGCTACCAAAATTAATAGAAATACAGACACTGGCCATGTAGGACAAATTGTCTGACACACAAACCTTATTTCATTAGGAATTTCTTCTTCCTCCTCCTCTTTATTTTTGCTTCTCCAGTAAAAGAATGCCCCTAAAATTAGTGCAATGCAAAAAATGATAATAACTGCACCAGTGCCAATGGCTCCAGCTATTAGTCCAATGCTCCTGGGCTGGGCTGCAAAATATATTTAAGGTAGATTTAAAGAACAAAAAAGAGAGAGAGAGAGAGAGAGAAATAGCATACATTCATGCAACTTCATAAATATGTCAGTTTACCACGGAATCGTCTTAAAATTCACGAAATCGCCTAAAGTGTTGCGTCCTTATAAAATTAAACCCTGGTTAACCTTCTGTGTCCTCAGTGGCTGGGACTAACACACAGTAGGCTCACAGACACTTGCTGAATGAGCGAACAGTGTAGGACTCACCACATCAGTAGAGCCACACTTAGAGCAGAACAGGCCAAAGATGCTCACCTGTCTGATCTGCCCAGAGGAACCCCAACAATCAGTGGGATGATGCTCACCTCAGCCCAACCAGGTCACTACTTTTTTAAGTGGAATTCAAAAAACCCAGAATTCTCAAATAAAGAGAAAATTTCTGCACTGCTCATTTATGACCTGGCCACCCAACAATTAAGCAGATATAAAGGGATAAGGAGAAAATACAAGAAGGTCTCGCCGCGGACATGAGATCATTACAAGTTTTTATAATGTCAATAGTACTATGCAATCACTTGAAGACAAGGAACTGACTTGATTCTAATGACCCTGAGGAGAAAGACATTCTGCCATAAAGATGTCATATTGCTGAGGCTGAAAAGTATACTAATACATTTATAGAACATTTCAATAATTAATAAAACCAAGAGAATTTCTATTTTATCTTCAAACAACCTAAAAACAATTAAAAGAAACTTTTCATTCCCTGGTTTAACAAAGATCTTGGTGTTCCAGAATTTTATATACTTACGTGAAATAACCTGGAGATCCAACAGACAGGTGCTGGTTCCGATGGCATTCGAAGCCACGCACTGGTACAGGCCTGAAGACAGAGCACTGATGTTCCGGATGGTAACTGTCCCCTGGACCTGGTCTGTCACAAAAATCATAAGTGAGCAGGTAGGGGGAAAAAAATTGGAAAACCAAAGAAATCAGCAGGAAACTACAAAAATAAACACTGAAGAGTCATCCATAGCCTTTGCCGAGGAGATTCTCTTGGTTCATGAAAAGACTAAAATCACATCGCATTAAAGACCCAAAGACATGGAGGACTTTCCTAAGTGCAATCTTACAACTTAATCTGACGATTAGTCTGAGGTCCTAATTGTGGGTAGCCCTTCCTGAGGAAACAGTGGCTAAGGCCTGTCCTAGAGAATCTATGATCAGTAACCCCAAATTTAAATTCCGAGGAAATGCGACAACCTAAAGATGAAGCTAAACTCATTACAGTCATGTTCACTTTATACTTGATGGAGAAAACATCCACTCTGTGCTCAAGGGTGTCGACTGTTACTTCCCACAACTATTTTAACTATAAACCCAGATCCTTCACGAAGCAGACACCAAGATAAGTCAAAGGTTTAGTGGAAGAAATTCTAGTTTAGGAAATGGGAGAGGAAGCTGGGGAGGGTTGGGAGAGCCTCTGACTGCAATGCAGGTCTGGACCCTGTGAAGAGGAGAGGCAAGGAAGGAGGGCCAGACAGGGAGCATCTCAGATTGCAGCATCATGTTAGGGAAGTCTCCATCAGGCTGCGGGGGAGGCCGTCCACTAAAATCACCTGTTAGAGGAGTCCCACACCTTGCAGGAATAGGACTGCATTCGCAGGCTCACTGTGCCCAGTCACTGGTTGGGAGCAGCCCTGGTAAAACCTGGTCTGGGTGCAAAGCAGTGGTAGATTCTGGAAGAAGCAGTTGGGGCTGTCTGTCAACTGTGTTCCCCACAGCGGGGGATAGGCAGGGCATTTTCAAGACCACCACACTGATATTACTCAGAAATGTTTCAGTGGTTCATATTTTATTAATTCATGAACATTAACATAGATTTCTTGTAAATAAAATGCAAATTATAGTAATAATAAAAAACTAAGATTAATAGTTGCTATTACTATGTGCCAAGCATTGGTTAAGCTTTTATAGTATTATCTTTTTTTTAAGATTTTATTTATTTGACAGAGAAAGAGAGAGAGATCACAAGTAGGCAGAGTGGCAGGCAGAGGGAGAGGGGAAGCAGGCTTCCCACGGAGCAGGGAGCCTGATGTGGGGCTCCATCCCAGGACCCTGGGATCATGCCCTGAGCTGAAGGCAGACGCTTAACCGACTGAGCCACCCAGGTGCCCCTAAAGTATTATCTTAATCTTTACAACGACGCTATGAGGTATTATTACTCATCCCACTGAACAGGTAAGGAGACTGATAAGGTTACACAGCTAGTGACACAAAATGGGAATTAGACGGGGCGCTGTCTTACATCTAAGCTCTAGGCTTCCCTGCCTCCCTTAGGCAGAACATAACACTCCAGTCATCTCAACCACTCAAAATAGCTGCAAATTTAGAAGTGGAAAGCCTACTGATAGCACGTTTCTGGCACCAAGTCCATGTGCTCCTAGGGCAACACCTGGAGCTCCCCCTACCCTGGGCTATTTTTACGTGAAACTAACATTATCTTGTTTCTGCTGGCAATCTTCAATTCTATCTAGAGCAAAGACCAAAGATGGGTCAGCAAAAGCAGACCTAACCACAGCACTGCATGCATTTATTGGTTAAGTCATTTAAGAAATAATTATGTAGGGCGCCTGGGTGGCTCAGTTGGTTAAGCGACTGCCTTCGGCTCAGGTCATGATCCCAGGGTCCTGGGATCGAGTCCCATATCGGGCTCCCTGCTCAGCAGGGAGCCCTCTGACCCTCTTCCCTCTCATACTCTCTATCTCTCATTCTCTCTCTCTCAAATAAATAAATAAAATCTTAAAAAAAAAAAAAGAAAGAATTATGTATTGAGCACCTTTCTGGAATTAACTTAAATAAACAAGCCAAGGAAAGAACATTTTTTTCTTGCTTTTGTTTCTGGTTTTTAATAGGAACATTTTTTTCTCTTTTTTTTTTTAAGATTTTATTTATTTATTTGACAGAGAGAGTGAGAGAGCAGAAGCAAGGGGAGCAGTAGAAGGAGAGGGAGAAGCAGGCTCCCCGCGGAGCAGGGAGCCCGATGCAGAACTCTATCCCAGGACCCTGGGATCATGACCTGAGCTGAAGGCAGACGCTTAACGACTGAGCCACTCAGGCGCCCCTCTTTTTAAAGATTTTATTTATTTATTCATGAGAGACAGAGAGAGGGAGAAAGGCAAGGAGAAGCAGGCTTCCCACAGAGCAGGGAGCCCGACTTGGGACTCAATCCCAGGACCCCAGGATCACGACCTGAGCTGAAAGCAGAGGCTTAACCAATTGAGCCACCCATGTGCCCCTAATGGGAACATTTAAAGGGCCAAATCCACATTAGATGGGTATCTTACTTATTCAGAACATGACGCTCGAAGAATTTGGACATTTGAATTGTACTGGACACACCAAGTCAATATATTCGGTGGTTACTTTGTTTGCACTTGTGTATCATTTCCTTTTCCTTAACAAACAACTCTGAGGCCTACCAATGTATGAGAGCCTTTCAGTGAATTCACTCAATAGTTGGGCCAGTCTGAGAGAAAATTGTTTTCTCCTCCTGTGTTTTTGACTTGCTTTCCGAGGCCTTCATCAAATGCCCCCTTCAGCACAATGTATTCTCTAGTGCTGGCACTTAACCCCATTTGGTGTAATTTCTTGCCTATTGTCTCATTAAAAGAAGGGGCGGTGGGGGCCCCTGGGTGGCTCAGTCAGTTGAGCCTTCGACACTTGATTTCGGCTCCGGTCATGATCTCAGGGTGGTAGGATCGAGCCCCTCATTGGGCTCTGTGCTCAGTGGGGAGTCTGCTTGAGATTCTCTCCCTCTGCCTCTCCCCTGTTTTCTCTCTAAAAAAGGGGGGGAGGGCTGGGTTTGTATTGTTCATCACTGCATCATCATCCTTAGAAGATACCTGGCACACAGGAAGGTGCTCAATAAATAAAGGAGTTACCTTCTCTTTAGTGTCTACTGTGTACCATATGTACTGTACTAAGAGTTATACATCTGTATCGTCTAATTGTCAAAATCCTAGGTTTTAAGGGACGCCTGGGTGGCTCAGTTGGTTAAGCAGCTGCCTTCGGCTCAGGTCATGATCCCAGGATCCTGGGATCGAGTCCCGCATCAGGCTCCCTGCTCAGCGGGGAGCCTGCTTCTCCCTCTGCCTGCCACTCCTCCTGCTTGTGCTCTTTCTCTCTGACAAATAAATAAATAAAATCTTTAAAAAAAAATCCTAGGTTTTATATAGAGAACAAACTCAGGGTTACCAGAGGGGAAGTGGGTGGGAGATGGGTGAAATAGGTGAAGGGGATTAAAGAGCACACTTAACCTGATGAGCCCTGGGTGATGAATGGAATTGTTGAATCACTATATTGTACACCAGAAACTAATATAACACTGTATGTTAACTATACTGGAATTCAAATAAAAAGCTAAAAAAAAAAATCCTAGGTTTTCTATTCCCTACTTTTCAAAGATGAAAAAGCTCAGAGAAGCCACACAATTTGTTCAAGATTACACAGTACAGAAATCTATAAAATCAGGTCTGTGTCCAAAGCTTATAGGCCCCATACATACGCTTGGTTTTCTAGTAAGGCATTTTAAACCACAGTATTCCATAGGGTACATCGGCAGGATGTTTCCTAACCATGCAATGTTACACTGCAGCTAGTGTTAAACTAAGCCGTCTGCCCAACTCCATCTTCAATACATTACCAGATGTCACCAGGCAAGAAAACCATAATCTCTGGGCAACTAGCCCTACAATTCCAAACACTGTAGTGCTGTCTTCCTAAGCCCTGAAATTCTAGGAATTTGATCAGCTCACACCAAACCAGTAATGTTGTTGACCTTTTCACAGAGATAATTTGGGAAACTTTTAACAGCTGAACAAAGCAGCATTCTGGCATGTAGAAAGAGGTAAACTTTAAAGATTCTTGCTTTCAAAAGGTTATTTTTAAAAGGTGAAGTCACTGTTCTTCCTTTTATCTCTATCAACACAGACAGCACATGCAGATTGATGGAACAAATTCTTCCTGACTGAGGCTGACATAGCATGCTAGAGCTAACTCAGAATGTAACCAGGGAAGGAGGCACATGGATAAGAGAGGATTAGCCAGAAGCAGGACAGGGCTATTTGTGTAGTGAAGGCAAAGAGCAGACAGGAGCCCCTCCTGAGCCGGCACCAGGGTGCTTCCAGCCACAAGCACAGGGCTCTTCCTCAAGTGAAAAGGACTAATTCTTCAACTCAATCTGTCACTTCACTGGGTCTGCTCTGGTGCAGAAGTAATTTGTTGAACCGAAGTTAGAAAACAAACGTTCTTATGATCTTCTTTCTTTTAAGGATAGGTAAAGTTCAACTGTGTGGAACCACAGTTTGGAAAGCACACATGACGTCTCAGCCCACGGTCAGTTCACAAGAACGATGCAGTTGGCCTAGGATGCCCTTCAGAACTACAGCGCAATAAACATAAGTGTCCATTTCCATGTCCATCCTTTTTCCTTAGGCCAGAACCATATTTCTGACTGCCTCGGGGATGGTGCGCTGACGAAGAGCATGTGCTCTAGGCTCAGACAGCCTGGGCTGGGATCCGCCCTACCACCTACCAGCTGGTTTCCTCACGTGTGAAGCAGAGCTACCAACCTAGCCTCCATATTGTGGGTCACCATGAGGGGGAAATGAGGTAATATGCGCAACAGGCAGAGTATAGTGCCTGATAAAGCTTCGGTATAGGAATTCCATGCCGGCGTCACTTGGGAAACTTACATATATTTCTGAATCATATGGAAAATCAGTCAAGAAATTGGGAAAATGTTGGATGTCTCCAAATCCCCAACAGATATTAATACTCAGGATCTGAGGTTGAGAGACAGGAATTCCTAAATCATGAATTATTCTATACTTTTATATGATTTGTGTACTTTGGAGTAATGAATGGCCATAA